AGCTATTCAAAACGTTTTAGGTTTTCAACGAAGGTCTAGCTAAGATCAGTTCGTAATTTAACCATGAAAATTCTATAATCTTGGTGAAGTTCAATCAATACTGAAGTACTAGATATGCATGAGATTGATCATTGTTCATTTGCCAATCAAAATAAACTTTACTGGATTTCATTTATTTACAATTATTACAATTCCATAGTGTACAAATATTACACGGAAAAATTTGTCTTATACAATAAATATATATTTGTGGCGAATAAACAATGCAACTTGAAGGCATAGATCAAAAGAATTAATAGCACTCAGTAACAACTGGAAAACAGAGCCCACGACAGAGTTGATCAGAGATCACTGGTCGGCAGCCTATGCCATATCAGGGATTAGAAGTCTAAAATCCTAAATCAACTTTTCTAACCTTATTTCTACCTGTTTTAAAATGGAACATATATATAGTTGATTATTGAGCAGTAACCTATGTCATGTGTTTCTAATTATTCAGAGATGATCAAATCTTATCGATTAATTTACGTTGTGATCAATAGTCTAAGTTACTATACATAGCATGCTATATGTTTTGATGTTACTCAGTGATCATTAACCATCTCAATCCTGGAGGAGATCAATCGCCCCCAGATTAGCTCAGTAGTTACGTCTAAGACTATTAAGCTGGGTGACGAATGTTCGAATCCTATAGGAAGTATTAGTCTACTGAAAACTGTAGGTGCACCTACTTGACAGGTTTCAACGAGCACGCAAACGAAATCCAATGTTTCCTATTAACTATCTCCAACCATTTAACATGTTACTACTTCCATACTGCAGTCACGTGGACGAAGAAAATACTACAATTCTTCAGTGAAATCAGAATGGATTATTTTAAAGTTTATTATTAAACAGGTAGAAGATATTTTATAAACTCCACCAAAGTTTTGTTCCTGAATTAAACATAAGATAAAGTACCATTAGGAGTCAACTAATGATCTACATCTATTTTGTAACGTAATTTAATGGATCACAACGAATCTATTAGTGAATAATATTTACGAATTTTATAAAAGTAACTAATTGTATTGCTTATAAAAAACTTACAGATTTCATAATAAGTTAATCTGTAATTTTGTCAAATATATTCTAGGCCATTCAAACAGCTTATTTTTCATTATTTAACCAGTTCACGTACATAGCAGAATCACTTTACTGGTCCCAGTTGTATCAGAATCGCTATCGGTATTAGTCAAAGTAACCACTAATATAAGAAACTTCAGGATTTATTTTTCAGTCTAACTTTAGAAAAAAGCTAAGAGTCTTGGATTCAAACCTCAACGTGCTTCGTAACACTTTAATGTAAACAATAAACATGTACAAAAATACTATGAGACACACAGATTAGGTTCCCTTTCTCAGACCCTTATGATAAAATATAAAAGTGGGGTCCAAAGTAATATTCATGGCATTTCTTTAAACAGTCAGTTAATGTAGATACCAACAGACAGACAACAGCCATTTCTAATCTACATTGGAGTCATTCAATCTAAACAACTGATGTCAGTGATAAACAACACAACCCATCTGGAACTAATATCAATCAGTTCAATTAGTTAATTCTTACTAAATCATAGTGATAGAAGCGTATCAAGACGAAACTAACCAAGAAACGCAAAACAATAATAGTAGTAGTAAAAGCAACAAAGGCACTATACATGAAAAACCTCTGATACAATATTGATCATCGTATAATCAAATTACTCAGTTTTGTTTAATAATACTACAGTCCTACAAGGAATGATGGCCATGAATGTATTTTCATCATTTTAGTTTTTCTCATGATCTTTCCCCTTTACTAGTTAGTCGCCATCAATTTTAGTTTGCTACTCTCCCGTGCACTTGAAAATCAAGCTTTCGTTACTATATATATTGAATCATACCATTTCAAGTGATCTACTCGTATTAGCGGGTAATGATTCGAACACGTTGCATCTCAAAAGGCTTTATCGTGTCCGCAATAGAATCGTACGAACTAAAAAGGTTATTCCTTAATTTGAGAGGCCAACCGGTAACGTCAATAAAAATAATGGTTTTAACAGTCACTATATGGTGGTTCTTGTTACAGCTTAAAAGAACTTGACTAAACTGAATGACTACGAATGACAGATATAATATGTTGTCTGATTAACACAATATATATAACTTGATTACCAACTGACGAGGAAGGTAGAAGGGTGAAGAAAAGTTAATACAGGTAGGTAAATGGAAAGGGCAGAATTTTTAGAACTATCTTATACTGCATTTAGTCCTAATTTGCTAAATAATTGTTTTACTATATTTTTATATTGCCTTAACTATATGTAGTTGACTGATGATACGTCTTCTACCGTTCATAATTATGTACTTGTTACTCAATTTGTGCACAGATTGTTATTTCCTATTTGGAGTGAGTTGTGATCGTGAAGTTGATGCTTGTAACCACATGAATAACGAGTCATAAGATAAACAGAATAAATCGACTGACTCTTCTCATGTTCTGACTGAGAATACCAGAGAGAGGGGAAGAAGTGACATGAGACAATCAGTGTTAGCACAATCGACAAAGCAAAAGTCGTCGGCATTGTTGCTGTAAAAGTGGACAAAATAAACTAGTGATCTAATTAAGCGGTCATATTGAAGTTTAAATTCATAGCAGGTTTGTAGTACCAAAATAACATTCATTTTTATACAATTCATTAATATGAGTGTGTGATGATTCAATGAACTGATGACAGAAATTAACCTTTAGCTAGCCAACCAGAATTCGGTTTGTCTACCCAAATCAATATTGTTTATAAAACAATGATCAGAATTAAAGAATAAAATAAAGTTGAAGGTTTTGGGAAATTGCAACCTAACATGTTCAATTATATATTATGATAAAACCTATGAAACACAATCAAGAGTTTTACATCACTTCTTATGGTATTCAGTTTAACTTCACAAAATGATAGCTTTCCACCCCACCCCCCCTACTCCTAATCAGGAATTTATTTTAACATATATACAACAAAAAAACAGTAAGTGACTCAGTAACAAAGATCAACTTGAATAGAACATGACGTCATCAACCAATACAATACTTGCTTCAGCAATATATGTATCTATGTCATTTGTATGCAAATAATTTATTATTTTTTTCTATGCAAAATAATTTATAACATATTTACAAGAATAACAATAAAAAACAATACAAAACAAGATAATTATTAAGGAAGGAAACAACTGTCGATTTGTTGTAGAAAAAAAACACAACAACAGACAACAATTGAACAAAAGCACACAATAAAAGTAGACAGACACCAGCAAACAAAGAACAGTCAACAAATTCACAAATTAAATAGAGAAAATGATGAACAATATCAAATAAAATATCATAATGTTTACATACTTTTTTTTTCTAATCGTTTTGGTAGAATAAGATTTATGTGCTAAAGTGTAAATTTTAAGGAAACTTAATTCATTTGTCCTGTTGTACCACAAACAAACAAAAAAAAAACACGCGCGCACACATACACACAAGCAAACAGATACACAAAACTGAAAAGAATCTACTGAAATTAAGAAGAGACACGAGCACACACAAACAAAGAAGCATAGACAAAAGTAATGAACATTAAATTAGGTAAGATTAATGTAGTGTAGTATAGTATAGTATAATACGGTGAAGTTTGGTGTACTGTTACTGTAGCAACAAAATCAATCAATAATATTATTAGATAATTGAAAAAAACTGTACAGAATAAAAAGTGATTGAAAATGAATATGCAAAATACATGTACATATAACATTACTTTGTGTGTAGAACACAAATGCAATAAAGCAGCAATAAATAGATAGATAGATAAAGAGAATAAGTGCAATACCAAAACTATACTGGAATGCACATTAGAGAAGAATAAATAACCAATACAAAATAACAAATATTATATATAACTGATCACAAATTAACAGAATTACTAACTTTCAACCAATCACATTTGTCTTATACCAGCTGTATTATGTTGAGAAAAATCTGAAAGCCCATTGGTTGTTTAAAATTATATATATATATATATATATATATATATATATATATATATATATATATATATATATATATGCATATACATCTATATTTAGTAGTACGTGCCAGTTAATTTTGAGTACATATGAAACAAAGTTTGAAATTATGTGAAGGTATACAACACAAAGAATAAATGTACAACCTGTAAATGGATTACTCAAGCTGTTAAATAAACAAATGTACAATAAATAATAGATAGGTTTGTTCTCTCATTGTTCCACTTTTATTTCAATCTGATAAAAAAAAATATGCATTCCATGATAAAACCAGTTCTATGAAGATGACATCAACATAGACGAGTATTATATTATTGAAATAGGCAGGATAGAGAGAGATATAGAGAGCTAAAGCACACACAGTTACGGTAAAAACTGAGAGGATTGTTTATCAAACAGATCGACGAAATTTCTCTGTGTTGTATAATATCATATGATGATAACTGTTTCGATAATCCATATAAATAAACTGACAGGAATGATAAAAACAGACAAATAAACCAAGTTACTAACAAGGTTTCATACGTTCGCTACTGCCTTGTTTTCTGCCTTACCATTATGTTATCAGATTAAACGTAGCTTGTACAAATAATGCTATAAAATGTTCCACTAAATAATGAGGTAAAATTGTTAAAACAAATGAATCCAGAACGCCTATACACACGCGAATAAACAGAGAAAGAAAGAAACGAACAGTTTAAAAATACAGAATTAAAACAATAAACGAAGAAATAGAAACTCAATCAGAAATGCTTTCACTGTACATTGAAAATTCAAAAATCATATAGGGTACCATTACATACTAAAGGAGGATGGATGAGAACAGGGAAAAGGACGGTAGTGATAGTGTGAGTGACCAGAGTAAAAAAATATTAGTGAAGAATAGCTTTTTTTTCTGTTTCACCACTTTTATTTCAGTGTGTTGTGTCATTGTATACATCATACGTAAATGAAGAATATTCTTGTTTTTTACGATAAGGAGATTCAACAGTTACACAAAGTGGTACTTGAGATTGTTGAACTTTTATAGGAGATGATTTACAACACAAGGTAGATGATGATGATGGTGATATTGAAGAAGATAAATAGCCAGTATGTGTATGTATAGTTGGAGATTCATGTCGACTATGTGGTTGATGTTGTTTTTGTCTTAAGTTTTCATTTGAATTCAAAGTTATTTCATCGGAGCAAAGTGCTGATTGAACACAATTAATATTTTCCCCAGTAGTCTGTAAAGAATATAACAAAAAAACATAAAAGCACAATATATATATATATGATAAAGATTTGTAGCTCATGTGGATGATTTTGGTGGAGTTTTGTTCTCTGAGTTGTATGTTTTGGTCGTGGAGCTTCCATCGTTATGCTGAACGAAATCATCAGCTGATGATGAAAGCTTCATGACCAAACCATATATATATATATATATATATATATATATATATATATATATATATATATATATATATATATATATATATGGATTCTAGGATCATTTTGTGACGTCATGAATGTTGGTATGAGCTGTTTTGATAGATGCAGACTAACTGAATGGGGATCCAAATGATTATCGTGATCAGTAGGTAGAGACATTAGGTATTAAGCTTTGAAATTATCTTATACTTTTCTATCCCAGAAAATTCATTCTTTCATCGCAATTATGAACCTGTTGTTCAAATATTGTATTATTAGGGATAAGTTGTAATTTCTTATTTAAGATGAATTGTAGTCCCTGAATTCACATGTATAATCAAGTGAATTTTTAAACTAGAATGCACGTTGCTTAGCTCTTGAGCTTAAGGATAGAGAATTCCTATGTAGCTCAATAGGCGTTAGCATTAAGTCATTTATATTACTGGTTCAATTATAATAGTTCCAGGTCATAACACCTTAATTTTGATAGAGATGGATCAAATACGTCAAAGCCATATTTTGGCGATATAACTCATCGCGTAGCTCTCAATATTGAGAAGCTATTCGCAGTCGAAGAATAACAATACGAAACTGATTAATAATTAGATTGAGCACTGAATAAATTATTAATAAAGTAAAATTAAACACTAGATATACATTATATTTGTGAAACACCTGACCTCCCTATAATTAGTTTGAATTTAAAACTAGTAGGTTATGAAGTACACTGACTGAACCAGCGTCAGGTAAAAAATTGTAACCAGCTAATCTCCAACAATGAGATTTTGTTTTACAAATATACTCAATGCCGACTATAAATTATTTGTGCGCCTAATTTTTACGAAACGATAATCAAAATAGAAATATAGTAGATTTGTATTAGACTTTAACTAGTTAATTGGACATTAGTATCAATTCAAATTCAAGATTATTAAGAACCTTTTTCGATTCCTCTTTCCGATCATTAATTATCCATCCACCTATCCACCTAACTATCACTTCTTATACCATCATTATCTGCCATTGGTATAAATCATAAATTGGTCTCGTTATAATTACCTATAATTATAATGAGAACATGTTGAATGAAAATAAACAATTATTGAGTATATGAAATATCAAAGTAGGCGAAAAACACAAGAATTGTTTCAATTACTGCTGGGTCATTTGAATAAGCCCACAAGAAATATATTAGTCATGTCCACGATGGTTAGTGGATAAGTGGCCAATCAAATTGTATAACTTTAACGCCCACTACATATACTGATTCAATATGACCTTGTAGTGTGGTCTGTCTCCATCTGACGTCATAATCTTTTAACATACATAATTGTTAGTTATAGTAATAATTTATACATTGGTTGCATCGCCCATTGTCATTAGGTACGTATGTAGGTATTTTAATTTCTGTTTTTAAATGAGAATAATTATTACCGACTCCCGTACTACTTATAACAGATTAAGTATCAAGTTATTTCAAGTGTAACTTTGCATATATTGTACCTCGAAAGTATTAAATTAAAAGTTACACATCATTTAAACAAAAGGAAGTAAAAAGCTGCTAGTAATTAAATTTACATGTAAAATCGACATATTGCTTTTTGAAATTAAGTAGTAAGATAATTGCCGGATAATTCCTAAGTCCTACAGAGTATATATGAACTTAATAGAGTGGTTCATTCAATATTTCGTTATTTCTAGCTTATATACCATCTTATTGCGAGGTACTCAGAGGCATTTAACAAGTAGCAGTTGAACTGGGTTTTGTATAGATTATTCCAATTTGTAATTGATTATCGACATGAATTGATAGTAGTGGAGAAACAATTAAACGTTAAAGATCGTCCGATGGTTAATTTCATCCTAGTATGAAACTTCTCAACAAGTGTGCCCAACAATCACCTTACCATAGATTACCGTCAACTGAGTTCAAACTTTGATGAGTACCACCTAAGAAAGTTGCTGGCTAGTCAGGTCAAGTGTACCATATTTAATTGAAAAATATAATGGCTTAAAAAATATAGTGACCAATAACAAAATTCTGGTCATTGTAGAACTCACATACTCTACTCCCACACTAGAATATGATATCTTATTACATATGCTACATGATTGCATTAATTAAAATAAACATATCCAATTAATGATTCCCATAGAAATTTATAGAGATAAACATATAAACTCAATATTATTAGGACATGGGTATTTACACGTAGATATTACTACATATTTCACACACACATAAGCACATACATTTATATATGAGGTAGAAGTTACAAGTGAAGACGAGGTGACCTTAAGAGTTTGTGAGATTCTAAGTAATAGATAACAAAAGTAGAAATTTTCTCTCTATTTCTGGTGATATATATGTTTATTAGAAAGAAAACATAGAGAACACAGAAAAAACGATTCTCAGAAATGTTAACTACTTTGTTTGCGAATTGATTGAAACTAAACATGTAAAAACTCAAGTTCTGATTCAATGGTCTAGGGTTAAGGGTTCACATCCGAGACCGGAGGTAATGAGTTCGACCATCTGCTGTAAAGTAGGCAATGTGCATTGCTGAATGTTTTTATACTGGGACGGATTAACTGTCTAGTCCTTCACGATATTCAGTGGTTGTATAACGTAGATCAATTCGTGATCTCAGTAACAGAGCGTTCCTCGTTTCAACTTCTGGAAGGGAAATTAGTGTGAAACAATGTAATGATCACTTGAGTCTCGATTTGGTGTTAGGACTAGGTACTACGCTTAAATAATGTCTAATTCCATGAACGAATTCTTTCCTCTCGACTTATGTCATCTATGTTTAGGCTTTTTTTACTATTACTACTCCCATTACTTTGGTAATCATCCTAATAATTTCATCTTGCCGTACTGATATAGTCTGGCAACATGAACTAATACATATATTTGTCAGGTTCTACAATGTTTATGGCTGAATAACTGACTAGTGTCACCAATAAATCACATTTCAGTCAGTCAGTCAGCAACAATGTAGGACTTCGTACATACGTGCATCAGTTCAAGTTGCCATACAACATTAACACAGAGATTCAATTGTCCATTCAAATCCCACAGTGGTGGAGATAGTAAAAGTATAAGCAGTAATCGGAAAGATTAGGCTTTGAACATGTTATTCAACGACTATAATACAGTGAAATAAATTTGGAAAGAAAAGAAAAAGAAAGGGATATGAAGAATTCAGAAGATTAGAATTTGGCAGAACACAAACAGTGGATGCACCTGCGCCATTGCAAACAATTTTCAGCCATGTCATTCAAGGTCTCTAACCATCGGTTGCTATCATCTCGCGGTCCCCAATCAGGTAGTCTACATCTACCAACATGGCTCACTCCACTTGTCAGTAACTTTATGGATTTTTGCTGTTTTGATGTGGTCGCCACCAGCTTCCTTCCAACCTACTCCAATACCATAAGACATCGCACGTCGGGGCAGTCAGCGGTCGGGCATACATAACACATGTCCCAGCCATCTCAACTAATAAAATTTCACTACTTCATCAATTGATTTGCCATCCTTACTTAGTACCCGTTTCCTAACAATTACATTACTTACTCGATGGTCCCAGGATATACGAGAAATATTTCGAAGACACCTATGATCGAATACTAGTAACCTGCGAATATCCTCTAATCTTACCGACCATGTGCTTAAAGATGATCATATTTGTTATCATATAAATAAAGCTATCCTACTGAAAAATATTGACTTCTTTGAGTTCCTGACTTCCCTTTCCATACATTGTACAAATGTTTAGTGTCGAAGTATAGTAGTATAATAGTCATCATTCAATTCTACTAATCTGTATATATCTAGTGAAATAGGAGAAGAATCTTACAATCGATTGTAATTTGATATTGTCATAGGGGCTATCCCAAAACAAAATGATAATAATAATAATAACAATAGCTGAATACCGAATTCAATCGTTTGATGAGAATGATCATGTTAGGTCAATTAACAATGGCTATTAATTTAGATTGTTTTTTAGTGACCAAGATTCTTATAACAGAAGTGATTAATCAGTGCAAAATAAAATTCATTCTGAATTAATTGAAAAAAAAAACGACAAAAAACAATCATTTAAAACACGAAGTTCAGCGAAGAGATCTCTTTTCAACGAATTTATTATCAAGCTGTACAATTGTGTATATATGAAAAAAGTACTAATTCCGTGAGGAAATTTGAACGCAATTAACCAAGATGACGTAATAGAAAGATTATAATACTAGATTACGTAATACGAATAATAACCAAAGATTTGGTGAATATAATAAGATGATTAAAATGTTTTTGTTATAATAATTAAAGGTCATAGAGGTGTAAAAATAAATAAGGTGATATGATGAGCATTTACGAATAAAATAATGAGAATATAAGACATAAGTAAAGGGGGAATGGAGTAATAATAATAACAATAATAGAATAATCAAAATAATTAAGGCCAAGGTAACGTAACGATAAGACGTATTTTTTTTGTAAGCATAATTTTGGTTTAAGCTTCTGGATGGTAAGAGCTTCGGCTATTTTTAAGGGTTGGATACGAAGAAATCTGGGTAGGTTTGAACGAATCATATAAACAATCTTAAAGTCAATTTGTGGATCTGTGGAATGGTTATAGTCGATTGGGTGTTCAAGTATAGAACTCCTAACTGCTTTCCTTTCATCCTTATAGAACCAAGCTGAAATATGTTCCCGTATCCGAGTTGAAAGCGAGCACTGGCTACGGCGCTTATATTCACTAAATCTATTGTTACCATTCGTATTACGTAATCTAATATTATAATCTTT